CAGCTGCGCGGGAGGCGGCGGTCCTCCCGCGTCTCCGGGGAGGGGCGCGGGGCCCTGGGCATTCCGTGGAGGCACCGGGCGCGGCGATGTCCGCAGCGAGCGAAACCCGGTGGTGAGGCCCTTGGAAAGCAGTGGGGAGCTGGGGTGAGGCTGGGAGGGAACGCCAGTGGAGAGCCGAGGTGAATGTTGTTGACACAAAATTATTGTCAGAATTATTGTTCGTTGAGCTTTCTGACTATACAAAGCGTGATGGATGAGAGTAGGAGGAGAGTTGGGGCTCTCTGCCCTCACACGCACAGAAAGCATCTCTAGCTGCTGATTGGTTGCTAGCTAACTGAAGCCAATTTTAGCCACCAAAAACAAGTTTCTGAGCAAGTCCTTTGATCATGCTTACAGTTTAGATATTTTAATATTTTTTGAGTTCCAATATTTCTCACTGTTAAAGGAAGAAGGTCCACTAACTTCTATACTTTTATGTTTGTGTATTTGAATTCTAGGAAATAAGCATTCAGCTGCTTTGAAGAATGAAGATGCTGCTCAAAGGTATAATTTCAAACAATATGTGGCATTTGTATTATTTCACCTTGCCTTGAAATCATGTTCTCTGCCTTGTGTGTTTCTGGATTTCTCAGGAGTACCATCTAGACTACCAGCATCAACATCATGCAGGCTTGCTTGCAGTGATGCCATGTAACTTCTAACAGCATGCACGTATGTGCGTTGTATAATATGCTGTAGTTTAATAAACTAACCTCCAAGTTGTATTTCCTTGTTCTGTAAGTGCTGCTTTGTGTCATCTTCATTTCTTTGCATACCTGCCGTTTTTCTTTATTCACTTTAAAAAACAAGCTTGAGTGTAAAGGAGGCTTGAGTTTCTGCCATGGACAATTACCTGAATATTCATTAGATTCTGTAGTGGAGTGAATTGTATAGACTTCTATCAGCAAAGACAGCAGAATGACTGTACATGAGCAACCTTTGTTGGAAGCACTGCCAAATGGAGATCGGAGACACCTATGTGGTTGCTCTCTGGTTGTAGAATAGTGGCAAGACTAAGGAACAATCAAGGAATCTACTGTAGTGGGATTTGTTTTATTTATTTCTTCCTTTACTTTGTACCCTCACACTCGGTCTTGTCCCGGTCCTTTTTTCTTCCCGCCCTTTAGATCTCATATAGCTCCCATCTCTTGGCAACATTCCATAAATTGTTTGACCCAGGCTCTTTGTTCAGACTGTTCTGGATTTCCCTCTTCTGCAAAAAGAGTTAGGTAGCCTTGTATGGAAGTATTGCAATGCAGTAAGGTTCAATACTTACTCTGACCAAGGCAGAAATCCAACCAAAGCTGGAAATTCCTCTGTGATTATTACAAATTACTAGTCCAGTCACTTGTTTTGTTGGGTCAACATGATGTGGAGACGTAAAGACAAATGTAAACTACTATATTTTCAGAAAGAAAGTGGAAATATGACTGAAGAATTGTTTATGGAAATTTCTGTGTCACTTAGTGTCTCTTCTATTACAGGAAAGCAGCTCTGGAGGCTGGTGTGAGAAAGAAGCTTGAATTTGAGAAAAAAGCATTGTATATTGTTGAACAGCTCCTGGAAGAGAACATTACTGAGGAGTTCCTTCTGAATTCTGTAGGTGTTGCAAGTTTGTACTACTATTTTGTATGTTATCATTCAACTTTTTTTTTAAAGTTCTTGGAACAATTTGTTGCAGTTTAAAGTAGACAAACCATTTATTTCTTGTCTTCTCAGCTCTGATGGTGATTGCCTTATGTTCAGGGGTTCTGCTGTGAAAACATGCCCTAGTTTTGCAAGACTGTATACATTTATGAATCTTCACTTTATTACCACAGCCTTTGTTTATGCCTCTCTGGTGCTGTACTGATAGATGATATAGACCTAAATTTTTAGACTTCATTTGTGAGTTTAGACAAAGTCTCTATAATGTACTTTCTTGTAGTTTACCTGGCAGCACAGTTTTGTTGAAGTGGTGCGATGATAACTCCAGTTAAGATTGTTAATGGCCTGGTAAATAGGTATACAAAGCATGTAAATAGAGGAAAGTTATGAAAATAGGTGCCATAAGACAAAATTTTGAAGCTCATGTATATGTAAAAGGAAGTGCCCATGTCTGCTTTCTTTCCTTGTTAACTCTTTTACCTTTTTTACTGTGTAGATTCTAAATGTTGCTTGTTAAATTTAGTAGATAACTGTTACGAGAGTTAAAATATTTATTTGCTTATGAGATATTATGAGTACAAAAAATGACAGATTTTCCAGTATCTGTTTCTTAAACTACTTTCTTGTCACGTTAGGCAAAGTTTATTACTCCATCTCATTATAAAGACATTGTTGATGAGCGGTCTATCATCAAACTATGTGGTTATCCTCTGTGTCAAAACAAACTGGACAATGTAAGTTGCTTTTTGTTAATGCTGTTATCATAAGAATTTCTTCACAATTTTTGTACTCTTGCATTTTCTTTATTAATTTCAAACTAACAGTATTAAACAGATAAAAATATTGTCAAATAATGGGCCAGGCATCATATTATTCCTTGTAGTCCTTCTGAAGTGAAAGGTAAAATTTGATCAGTTGACAAGCAGTACTGTATGACAGAATCAGTTAGCATCTACATTGGCAGTAGTAATGATGACTGAGGTGTGGCTTCGTGGCCTTCCTTTGTGCGTGCAGAAGCTTTCAAATCTTGTTCCTTCTGCAGTGTAATCACTTAGCTGTGTGAGAAGGTTTGAAGTGAAAAAATAATACAGTGCAGGTGCATTAATACATGAATGCATATACATTTGCTGTAAAATTGTACATTACCTATGTCAAAATCATAGTCACTTATTTAGGTATGGTCTGTCAGAGCTTAACTGACTGAGTTCAGTTACATAACCTGTGATGTAATACCAGTTGTGGTACACCTGGTTGTCTGAAAAAAAATCTACTCAAACACAAAAAATCATTCTGTTTTGGACTTCATATGACCCCACAGAAGTTCACTTGGCAACTATTATATTTTCTGTAAGTATCTCTCTGGTTTTGTCTGGGTAGTGGTCTCTGACAGTACAGTCTTATGTGGTACAAATAGATACAGATTAAAGAATGACCTATCTGTAATTGTCCAACACTTATACGTGAGTAAAGTTTCTACCATGGCAGCTCCATCGTTTTGTGCTCAGCACTGACTTTCTTGTGGCTTTGAAGTTGTCTTCTACTGATAGTGGGGTGTAAATGATTAAAGCTTAGTTGCTATTACATCTGAGAAGCTAAATATCAAAAGAATTGAGAGAAGAGATGGCAGTAGTGTCCGATTCAGTAAAAACTTGTACTGTTAAACTATATTAAAAAATGTGAATTAAGAATGAAATATTCTATAAAGTCATGATAGAAGTAACAGTGTTGCTGATGAAAGCATCTTGTTTTAGGTGCCAAAACAGAAGTACAGAATTTCAACAAAAACGAACAGAGTTTATGATATCACTGAAAGAAAGGTATTGTAACAAGTCTGTTTCTGAAAGGGATTTAAAGTTGTCTCAGCATCAAAAATGCATTTTATAACAGCATTCATATAGTGGCTTGAATGAGAGCCAATGTGTTTGGGTTTTATGAAAACCATTTTCATGGGTTGTTAGAATATAGTTTTTTTGTGCCTTTCAGTTTCTAGATGCTCTCTTTGGAAAGACCAAAAACCCACTTATTTTCTTTGCAAAATTTAAACATAACATGTAAAGTTTTACTTGGATAGCATTTTGAATGTGGTACAGCTGATCTGGTAAAGACAGGTGTGAAGAAGTGTTCTCTGGGTCCAGTACAGTCAGTGAGCATTGGTAGGGTCAAAGTGCACATCCTTTACATTCACTGAAGCTTGCAGTAGTGTAATACAAGTTATATCTTATGCATTTCTTACTGTGGCTTCCTTTAGCGTTCTTTTTTGGGGACTTTACAACATAAAACCTCTCTCTTCACAAAGTCTGGTGTTTTGTGTTTGTTTTTGTTTTTTCTTGAAGCATATTGATGCCTCTGGTTGTGTAAAAGTCTTCTTTGCCTGCTCACAGGGCACACAATCATCTACAGGTGCTTGGACGCTAAACTGTGGGATAAATGTTTCTAGTTTCAGAACAAATTTCTTCGGTGTTGCTATTATACATTCCTTTCCTCTGGTTACAACTTGGATACACAAAATTCTGGGAATTGCCTTCTCTACCTACCAGGCAAGACTCTGAGACATGATATATTTTATCTTGTTCCCGGAGGGAAATGTACAAGTTAATTTTTCAATGATGCAAAATTTTAGATACTGTTCTGAGTATTGCAAAATATCCAAGTTCTTTTGCTAACCAAAATCTCCATTATTAAACAATTAAATTTTATTATATGTCTTTTAAACTGTAATGACCACATTGTTGGGTTAGGAAATCCCCTTTGAATGGGTTTGGTTCTTGTTTTTTAAAATCATTGTTAAGTAGAATCCAGCACTGGTTTACTTGTCAGTTTGTAATAAAAGGGCAAAAAGCAGAAAAGTGGGGGTAAAAGAAGCCAAAAGTGGCTTTTAGGGAATGGGATAGACTTATTTGATAGGTTTGGTTTCTCAGTTGAATTCAAAACCTAGTCATAGGCTTAAAAAGAAATGTGAATTGGTACTTAATTTTACTGGTATAAAAAACAATGTCCTTTTTACCTCTCTATGGGTACTAAAGTTGTCTTTAGTCATATTTTATTGCTCCCTCTATTGTTTTCAGTGTTTTTGCAGCGACTTTTGCTATAGAGCATCTAAATATTTTGAAGCTCAAGTTTCCAAAAGTCCAGTATGGATGCGAGAAGAAGAAAAGTAAGTATAATCTCATGCATTCGTTGTTCCTTTTAAGAATATTGTTTTCTCAGTCCAAGCTGCAATACTAGTTAATTAGCTGCAGTACATCAAAATGACTCAGCTGAAGCAGAGGTAACTGATGTAGACGCATTAGCTTAGTATGGTGTTTGTGTGAAATGTGTTGTTGCCATATTGGTTACAATAATTAGCATGAGTTAGTACTACTTGTGAATGCTTAGTAGACATGACCATGTTAGTTTAGAGGGCAGACTAGTTTTAATAGGAGTTGACTGTTATTTATCTTTAAAATGTACTGATTAGGATTGGAGTTTTACAAACCATAGGACAAGATTAATTCATCCTGTACATCATGTTATAAGAGATTTTCTAATTTTAGCACAGTGATTGGCATTGGGCTTAAGGTTAGATGGAAGCCCTTGCCCCTGAAAGCAGACTGTAACATGAAGAGGTTTTTTATCCTCTGTTCATTTCAGATTGCCTGTTTCATGTTGCTACTGCCATACACATTTTGGAACAGAGTGATGCAGTCCGTGTTCCTCACTTAGGAAATACAGGCTTGCAAATAACGAATTGAGCCAATGGGTGTCACTGTTTAACACTAAATACTTGTCTAGGGAATGTTCAGCCGAACTTACTCAGCTTTCATTCTCCAAGACACTACTTTTTTAGTCTCCTGATTTTCAACAAATGATCTAAGATTAGATCAGATCTAACAAATGATCTGATCTAAGAGATTTTGTCTTTAAAGAAAACATTTCTAAAATCTCCCTTTGTACTTAATATTGCTAATGTATACGGCTGGCATAGTTAATTACTTATGCTGTGTGGTGGGGGCAAGGTGGGACATGTAAAAAACCAACCAAGCCCAGCCCCAGATAGCTCATGGCTAGGTATATCTCTTTGCACAACCACACGCGTGCACGCACCGATACATGTTTACGCATGAGGATAACTGGAATTCTTTTGATGGAAGAGACTACAGCCTTCACTTAAAACTCTGAAGAAGATTTATATGGAGTTAATAATTTAAATTGTTTGTTATCACTTTGAGTTTTCAAACTCAGTTAATTCATGAGTGGTGCAGCTTTCATCTTTTTAAATCTGTGGTTTTTTTAATATACTGTCTGAAAGCTGTTAGTGCCTGAGAGGTGTTAGTGTGTTGACTTGTATTTAGTGCATGCTTAAAATGTTTTCATTCATAGGATAGGTGGGTGTGGATTTCAACATTCAGTGTTGAATAAAATAATAGCATTGTGATGCTGCCTCATAACTGGATCACAGTGGCCTAACTGCAAGTAGAGCTTTGGAAAGAAACCCATCAGAATTTCTTTAGTAATCTTTCTTAGAGTTTCTGTAAACCTTTGAACTCTATTTTCTTCAATCAGTATAACTTGATAACCTAATTTTTAGCAAAGTAAAATTTTAGATAAAGATATCCTGAATATTTCTTGGATGTGCTTTTTTTGGTTAGGTTTTTGTTTAGTTGGTTTTTTAATTAATTTAGAGGATTTTTCTATAAATGGCCGAAGATTGTTTCTGTTATAGGAACTTTGTGACCTATGAGGATCCTGGCAAATTTACTTTGTTGAGGTGGGAACCAAAGGGTGATGTGAAAGCAGACTACAACTACTTGAAAAAAAGTTACAAAGATTACAGAGCCAAACTGTTCCTTGTTGATGTCAGAAAACTTAGGAATGATGGCCACAAACTATCACATGGACGGTTCAGTTTGGACACTGGTAAACAAAATTGTATTACGGTTATGGTGGAATGAAACAGGATATTCAGCAACTTTTTATAAGTCTCCATCTTTGGAGGTTTTCAAGATTGAAACTTCATGAATTTGTGGCTGACCTAATCTAATGCCGGTGACAACTGCATTACAAGCAAAAGGTCAGGCTAGAGACTTCCAGAGGTTACTTCTGACTAACATTTTGTGTGGCTTGATGATTCTGTGAACATGTTGCTCAGCATATCAGCATCATGCTACAGGCACACAAGTCGTGCTCTGTGAACATGTATGTATAAACCTGCTCTTGCTAACCCTACTTTGAACAGGGGGTGTTGGACTAGAAGATCCTCAGACATCCCTTCCAACCTCAACTGTGGTTTGTGTATTAACATGTATTTCAAGAGCATTGATTTAGCAGGAAGATCTTCATTCTGTGTATTCTTCTTGCAGACCACCAGACATAGAGCTGCTGAAGAAGGGACAGAGGTACACTGAACAATATTCTTTTTGTTATATGCAGTTAGTTAGAAATACTAGCATCATATCAGGTGAAAGGGAAATCATTGATTTCCTGTGTTATAGAAAAGACTTTATTAAACCATAACAAGGGATGATTTGTCTTGTTTTGTTTTTTCCTTTGTGGTTCTAAGCCAGTGTATTTGATCAGTATGATTTAGTGTACAGCTGCTCTTGGCCTGTATGTCTTAATTGAGCCTGTTGAAATCTGAAACAAATACACTGTTTGTACTTTGCATATTTTATATCATCTGTTCTTTACAAAGAAAATTGTGCCAATTATATGTGATGAAAGCTTCTGTACTTCTCAATCTAAAACACCTATATCAGCTAAAATTAAATCGTACTACTCTGTCATCTCTCTGTACCTTGCTGTGTGTTGTGACTTTTTGTTTTCCTTTGCAACACATGGCCATTAGGTGGCAAACTTACATATGCCAGAAACAGCTCTGCTGTCTCTCTGAGTTTAAGATACTATATTCCTATATATATCAAGATGCCTGATACTATATTCCTATATATATCAAGATGTCTGTCTAGATTTAAAATTGCATTATTCATCATACTAAGTCTGACATTATTCTGTTGTCTTTAATATCATATTTACTATTCTTTTCTAACTGCCAGTAAGCAACTCACTTCTCTAAAGAGTGTTTATTTATCTTTCTTACACAACAATGAAAAGCTGTTACAGGAAACACTCATTTCTTGTTTCATTGATGGCTTATGTTTTCTATTACAGTGGACAGTCTGGAAAAGAAGTGAAACTATGTGATGAAGTAGTTAAAGCATCTGACATTGAAAATCCTAGGATATCTTCAAATCCTTGTGAATCTGGTTCTCATGACACAGCCAGTGACAGCAGTAGTGATACTGAACAAGAATTCATTTCTTCTGTCCTACCAGAAAGTCGGTCAAGTTCAGCCAGTTTTGCACAGCAGTTGCACAGAAACAGCATTCTAAAAAAAAAGCCTACTCAGAAAGTCTGTTCCAGCCCTAAAACTGAAGACTCGGATGTCGTAGAAGCCACTGAACGACTATCTAATTGTAAATTAGATGCTCAGGAAGAAACGCGTGCTTGCTCTGTTCATAATAAAATAACTGCAAAACCTTCAAAAATTACTACTCTAGAGAAATCGAGTGCTTCAGAAAACTGTGAAAGCACCTGTGGTTCACAGGTAGTTTTTCTAGGTGTGAGCAAAAGAGGGGTGGAACATCTTAAAAGAGCACTAGCTAACTCAAAAGAATATAAACCACAATTGAGGCATCCAGCTGATTCCAAAGGCAGTTTATTAGAAGTGCTTGAGCAAACACTTACAGAATGGAGAACTGAGGAAACGTTAAAATTTCTCTATGGCCCAAACTGTATTTCTTTGTGCTCATCAAAGCATGTGTCATCTGCCAACCAGGAGAATGAAGAACTTGATGAGGATGACTTAGATACAGCTGATGATATTAATACTGTTGCTCCAGGGGAGCCTGAAAACAGTTTGAACTATTCTTTACCTTTCACAGGCACAGGTGGAATAGTTAAGCCTGTGCCTAGTTATGAAAAGTTAAAAGAAGAAACAGAGTTCCTAGAACTCCGAGTAAGAGAGTTCTATAAAGGAAAGTGCATCTTGGCTGAAGAGGTGCTGACACATGCACAAGCAGACGAACTTCCAAGCAAAGACAAAGTAAGTGTCCAGTGGAACAGTGACGAGGTTGTCTAAAGTCTGCTTTCAGAGAATTATTACAAGCTCTTTGTTTCTCTCATTATGCGTAAGTAGCACAGGGGAGGGGAAAAGTATCTTGGCTGCATCCTATATATTGGGTCAGATAAAGCAAGCTTCTGTCCATTAAGCAGTTACTGGTTGGATTTTTTTCTGTTAGAGTTTTCTTATGTTTAAACATTTATTGATAAGCTGTGACTTATTTTGATGCATTGACTTTAAATACTAAGTATTTAAATATTTTTATTTTTTGTCTAATACAGGATGATGAACAGGAAGACCTCACATTCCCACTGGTTGATTCAAATGCACAAATGCAGATTAGAAGGCGAATTGTTCTTGAAAAACTGAGAAAAGTGTAAGTATTGTTTCCTCTGGTAAAAGTCAAGCTGAAGTTGATGCCTCATTCATCATTTTAAGTAACAAACACATTGTACAAGGATATTCTGGCTTTTTCTAGATGGCCTTAGTCATGACTTAAAAACCGTTAATGCCGTGAAGAATTTACTTACTTCTGAGACAATCATCTGCAGATGAATGGAGATGAGGCATTCATCTTCAGTTGCAGGTGTCAGTTTGCACTGCCTAGGTTAAGTGTCAGAATCTCAGTGCCAAGGTGTTCTCTAGAAGACACCTGTCCCTTCCTACAACCATTGGAGTTTGTTGACAGCGTTCCAGGCCGGCATGACAGCATGTTCCTGCTCTACAGTACTTGGCAGAAGTTAGTGCAATTGCACCATTACCCTGAAAATTTCTGTGGTTTCTGGATGTAAATGTTGGTATATCACATGGAGCTTAAAATGAGAATACGTGCTTAATCTCCACAGCAATCTCATTACTTGTCCTTCTTTTCCTCAGTTACATGGAAATAATAAAAACTATTTAGATTCTTATGAGTTGTTTAAAAGTAAATTCTGATGGACTTAAAATATTAAATATTTAAATAGCTATTAAATAGCTATATGTACAAACTGCCCAATTCTAAACTGAAAAACTTGGAAGTTGCTTGGGAGGAGTGAAATATTTGTACTGTACATTAAGCATAGTGTTCCTAGTAAACAAATCTACACAGAAGGAAGTGGTGTTTTCAAGCCTTTTAATAGTTTAAGCAAGGATCTTGCTGGAAGAGTTTCTAGTCCACAGTTGGATGGCTTGTATCAGTATGGCTCTAGCTACAACAATTAAAGACCTTTAGAGTTGAATCTTGAAACTTCTAAACACCAGACCTTTTTCACATGTATTAAAGGACTTTTGAGTCCCAGAAAAGAGATTAAGGCATCTGTGCTGTAGCTGTTAAAATTATTAAATTGTCAAAGTTGAGAGGACCTTGAAAGTATTCCATTGACAAGGCAATGCAGATGAATGAGTTTGAAGGCCGTGGTTGTGGTGATTTTGTTATGGGTATTTTGGTTTTCTATGGTTGTAGTTTGTGTTAGATAGCCAAACTAGATTTTGCAGAAGCCTTTTTTTTTAACTAAAAAATACTGCTGTATAGTAAAGCAGCTTCACTGCACCTACAAATTCTTCCACAAATTTGTAAGTCATTTTCAGCTTCTAGCAAAAGTTCTGTTGAACTTGAAAGTCTGATACTCCATGAATAGAGGGTAAGAAAGACAGAATTTTTTTTTTTTTCCTCGTTTCTTTCAAGGTTTAATTCTTGACTGTCTCTTTCACTGGTCATTTGATCGGTTTAAATTTCATCAGTATTGCAGAAGTCCTGTCACACTCAAGTAAGACAATTTTCCTTGTGATAAAGCAATGTTTTCTTGGCATGTTCAGATGAAGTCAGTGGGAATATGAATATGCCCAGCAATAGAAAGAATCCTGTGTTCAGTTTTTGTAAAACACAGAGTGATGTGAAGGAAAATAGGAATCTTGATTCTTCCAGCCATATTGATGCCCCACGCACATATATGCACATAAATGTAGATAACTGGATATTGAAATATAAGAGGATATTAAGTATTAAACAAGTAAATAGAGGCAATAGTTTCATCCTAAAGGTGAAAAACAATGCATATGATTTCCAGTATTGGGGGATACTGACAACGAGTTAAACAGTACGTGCCGTTTCTTGTGTGCTCTATCAGTTTTTACTCACACTCGGGTAGGGAGGCAATCTGTCATCTTCTCTTTTGAAATTTCCTGATTACCCCACTATCATTTTGATTCCAACTATAAGGCTTACAGTGAAACCCTGTTTCTGTTGAGTCTGTGTGAGTCTGAGATTAGTGGATATATCTGGGGGGAAAACCTCATTTAGACGTATAGTTTCCTTTTGTATTGTTATTTTTGAAACAAGTAAATATAAATATTTGAAACATTTATGGGGCCTGGAATTTTAATCCTCATAACGTAAACACTTTGATTTTTTGGTAAGAATGTCTTGTCAGAGCTGAAATGTGAAGTTAATAAGAGTCTGCATGTGAAACTGTATTTAATTTCTTCTTCACATTTACACTGAACTAGAGCTTCTTATTTTTACGAAGAAGCTGTTGTAAAATGAAAGTGTAGACTCAAACACCACTGGGAGGAATCTGAAAGGTAAACCACAGGCCTGATCTGCTGCACAATAGTCAATCTCTTTTTATGAACTTTCATGAACTCTGGTGGAAGCCTTACTTGAGAAGAAATGAGAAAGAGAGAGAGCAAAATGTATATTTACCACTGTCTTTTGCCTTCTAGATTACCTGCAGTTTTGGGCCCTCTTCAGATTACTCCAGGTGATGTTTACACAGAGCTAAAAAATCTTGTCAAAACTTTCCAGTGAGTATTGGTCTTTATTTAGAGTTTCTTCTTGATTGATTAATTAAGCATGCTGTTGAATGATTTGTGATTTGGGCACAGAGAGGGCCCCATTGCAGATTTGCCCTTTTCTAGCTGTGTGTTCATGTATGTTATGTCACATTCCCTGTGGACTAACAAGTCAACCCTTTCACTGCTCCTGACAGTGGCTAGGTCACCAGGAGTATTTGTAGATTTTTAAAAACTAGGCCAGTGGTCTCTGGAGAATAATGGTGAGTCTTTTAAAGGATCTCCTACCTCGTCACCTCCAATTAAGCGTGAGTGTCTGAGATCTGTCACTTTATTTTGCTCTGGCTCCCTACAGCCAGGCTAAATTATTTTAATGTGATTAAGAATTGTTACCACTAACTTCTAGAGCCAGCAAGAAGGTCCAGTTTGACCTGTCTTGTTCCCCATTTCAAGGGGAAGTAGGTCCAGTGGACGCTTTATCGCCACATATGAAACTTCTGCTTCACTTGGAAGCACTGAAGGGCAGTATTTGGAAACACTGAGGTAAAGGAGAGAAAACAGAGTGGTGATAACTTCTCCGAACATTTTTAGGTTTTCTTAGGAACACAACTCTTGTAACTTGGACCTAGATGATGTCCTGCATCTTGAAGTACTGTCAGGAAAGGAGCAATAATAGTTGCTAACTCTGTGTGTGTTGTCACTCTTGAAACTTCCCCCCACCCCCCCATACACAGTCTGCACAAGATTTACATGGAAATTTTCCAAAACTTGTTCATGTGGCATTTGCCACAAGGAATCTGGGCTCTGGTGAGTGGAGACCCAGCTCTACCTGATTCTTCACTATTTGTCTAACATCTGGAACGACAGCACTAAAACACAGGTCTCTGCATGTGGGATTTCTTGCTGTGGAAGATACTTTTTTCCTTTCTGGTGACTCTGCACATGATCTCTTTTATTTAAAAGAATTTTTACTGTTGGAACTTGATTCTGTAATTGCAGTCTTTTAAGTTGTGATTAACCTTCATTTATTTTAACAACAACAGTGAAACCAGGGAAGATAGTTTTTGTTACATTGGAGCAGCATGTATGTACTATATGTACCTACTATGTTAGTAACACCTCTGTGTCTTAAAACAGTTTTGTTGTTCTGCACTTTAGCTTATGGATTAATAGAACTGGAAAAAATACATTTGGTTTCTTTCCATGTAGTTTTGTATGATTCATTATGTAAGAATTCCTAGAGATTCTCAGAAGCAGAAATTTAAATTCTGTTTTAAGTAATTTTTTGCTATTCAGAGGCAATGTGGCCTGAATATGAAGTTTTAAAAGTGGCTTATAGCAAATGAGCCTTGAAGTCAAAATAGGCACACAGACATTTTTAGAAGTCTGTGTGTGTATACACACATAGATCTGTGGAATTACAGAATGGGACAACACCTAATATATTTGGACTTTGATCCCAATACTTGGCTCATGTAGCAATAATTTTTCTGATCTATTTCTCATCCCTCAAATAATGCTTCCTTACTTTACTTATAAGCCTTTCTTTTTGTTAGGAACTAAGTTAAAGGTAATGGTAGCAAGTTCTTGGGGCTCTCCTACTGTGAAGATTGCAGATAACTTGCTCAGAAATTCAGCATTTTGGGCAGGGCATGGTTGAAAACATTTGTGGGCACTACACAAGAATTTGTATGTGCTCTTGTGTATATGTGTATGTTTTATTTAGATAGATAGATACTTAAAATACATATATCTCAAAATAAATGGTGTTTACATATATATATCAATATCTGTATATATCTCAAAATAAATTGAATTTTATTGTCACTGATAGTAAAATAATACAAAAAACCCCGAGAAATAGGGAAGCAATAAAAACCTTTGGGCCCTGTCTGCTTCTTGCATTTCTGAGATGAAATGGTCTGTTGAGAAACAAGCACAAAAGCTAGCTCGTGGGTATGAAGGCATAGGTTTGAATCTCCAGTTCTGTACGTAGGTTTAAATCTAGTTAATGTGAAAGGTCTCTCTCAGTTTAGGGTGAATGCTTTGGCCGGGAGACCTGGGGTTCATTTTAAGTGATATTTTTGTTTGCAGGGTATAGAAATTTAAACGTTGTTTACTTCATAAATGTGGTTAAAATGCTTAATGATTCTGGAGGGAGCCCTGACAAATGTTAGTGCTCTTTCCTGCCTTTTGTACTGGAAATATTTCAGGCTGAAGAACTTGGCAAAGTGGGTGGGAGATAAAACACATGGTTGTAGTAGAGCTTAGCTGAAGAAGGGTAAAAGAGCATGTGGTGAACTAAGCAACAACAATTTTCAGCTCCATTGGTTTTTAAAGGAACACTTGCAGTTCAGCCTCCTTTGGGCAGCATTTTATTCAATCACCACTGCTGGGAAACACACTAGATGGATCTCAAGAGACATTTTAGAATGGTTAGAGCTCTTCCAAAACAAAGTCCCTCAGTGACTGTAAGCTTTTGTTACAAAAACTGAGATGTCAAATAATTCTCCAGAGTGCATAAGGGCACTTTGTTAAAAGATCAAGAGAAAATTATATATATATAGAGAGAGAGATAATATATTTTTT